GTCCTTTTACGAAACCCTGTGACGCGGACGGATAGAGGACAGCAGATGCAAAAGCATCGAAATGTGCAAGACACATAGGTAAGCCTGGAAACGGGCTTTTTCAAAGAGAGGGAACTCCGGGGTGGGTGAACCACTTTCATGCGTGGAAAGCTAGACTAATTAAGGATCACAGTGGCCATAGAACTCCATGCAGACAATAGACTGCAGAGATAAACAGAAAAGTTGCACGTTGAAAGCAACTACATTCAGTTTTTCGCATACCCTCCATAACGTCGAGACTGCCGAGTATCCCTGGGGTTTCCTACATCTAATTCCAGGAAGGGGAGCTTACTGTGCTGTAATTTCAAAATACGATGACGTAGTTTAAAGGCAGTTGGGTTGGCACAATAAATCCCCCAAGACGAGTAGGATTAATACGCCTGGCAGGACGGAATTCCGCGACCCTGAGCAGGCGCTGCATAATGCCTTTTCCAAGGGAGGTGCCCTTATAAGGGCCCTATCAAGCCACAACATTACGTCCCAAACGCCCGCCACGCCCGCCCACAAATGGACGACCGTTCCTGACGCTCGTATTCATTCATTTGCTAAGCAAATTATGAAGCGAAGGGATTGGTATGAAGCGGCCGTGATGCTGCATGCATATATGGGTACACATATGCAGCCGTACCTTCGGTAGCGGTTATTGGCAAGATGCCTACAGGAAACTCGTCCAAAATTGATTTAACACATTGAGAACGGAGGCTCTTTCTTCGCAGGATTTTGACCGTTTCACTCCGTTCTTTCGCCATTTCCCCACTATATAGCGCCCTACTAGCATTTTATTCCGAGCACCAAATCATCGTGCCAACTGCCTTTAAGGGCATGGCGATCGGTTTCGGACGGCTCGTGCTTTTGTCACCTGTGACGAAAATTGCTCGATGTACTTTACTTGTCCTATCTTGGGACTTTTTCAAGTAAAGATGCAATCAACGCTTGCCTAGGGAAGGAAAGCGGTAGAAGCGCGCTGATCGCGGTTTCTGGTGTGCAACAAGGAGTCGGTAGAAATAAGTACGAAAATGCATAAGTGGTAACAGGAATTCCAACATGAGGAACCCATTCGAGCGATATCTAAGGGTAGGTGCAATATCCCTGAGGTGGGAGGAGGGGGTGCTAATTTCTGTGCATTTGGTGTCGATAGACCGAGCAGTACATAATATGAGCGGTACCACGGCACATCATTAGTTGGGGATATTAGTCGAATCCTCACAAACCCCCATCCCCTTTTTTTAAGGGGGTTGGAACGACCCTCCCCCCTGGTTCCCTTTTCATCGACCTGTCGAAGGGCAGGGGGTATATTTAGGGGGGGGGGGGCAAAAAAACACTTTTCTTCCTTGACTTTCAAGGCGCTATAAGTTACACTTTATTAGGTTCTGATTGGACATTTCCATCACCTTGTTGAACAGCATACTGTTTTCTTGGACGTGGACCAATTGGTTGGAATCCGTTTATTCTATCGCATGGGTGGTTTATATACGGTGCCAAGAGGCAAAGACATTTAATATGTATGTTAGAAAGAAAGCAAAGGCTTAATCAGTGAGCTATGTAGACATAATTAAAATGAATCATTTCAAATATCCGAAAAGAAAACATTTTAACAATCTTATGGAAGGCGAATGAGTCATCAAATTTCTTGCTAATTTCTTTCTATAGAATTTTGCAGAATGCAGAAAACTCCCGCAGGAGGAAGATTGCTTTTACATACTCTTTTTGATTTCTGATCGATTTCGTAAGGAGTTAAAGATTGTAACAATCAAGAAAAGTGCGAGTAGAGTGAAAATGAAATTCAATCCAATCAAAGAGGAAAGGAAATTCGGTAGCCATTGAAAAGGATGTCTTCAACAATGAAATCACATTACTAATTGAAATGCTACCAAAATTTGAATCACTTTCGTAGTTGTTCGTTTCTTCGACGTGAAGACCATCGTTGATATATTCGAGATTTCCACTGATGACGAAATTCGTCAGACCTCCGGGGCATCGTAACGTGCAGTTTTCTTTCACTGTAGGCGTTTCGAAGTTGAATGTTATTGTGTTCACATGGCCTGTTCTCGTACATACGGCCACTTGTTGCTGAGAACCGCAACTGATTTCTGCTGTTATTTCGTTAGCGCTTGAGTGGCAGGCCAATTCCAATCTTGCTCCGTTGAGACAGTGGTAGCATCCGATGACGTCTGAGGCGACCGCCGTGCATGTAGCGTTTTCCATTAAGGATGTCATTTCAGTCCTTCCGGCGACAAGGTGTAATTGTAGTGCTGTTCCAACGTTCATTTTTGCTTCCACTGACTTTCCATTTTGGTATATCATGACGTTTTTCATGACGACTGGTAGCGGTGTTTTCTTGAGAGTTTTTCTGACGTTGCCACTGCTGCATGTGCAGGTTGCTCTATTTACTGCTGCGGAACACGTGCAGACGTTACTAGGGAATTGGCAGTTGAATTTTTCGGCTTCCCTTTTGTCACTACATTGCAGCTGTCCTATTGTGTGCGCGATGAGGTGACCTGACGAAACCTCTTTGGTGAGCGCGGTACATTGAATGCCCCATCTTGTGTATGAAAGCCGAAGAAAGTACTGGAAGTTGCGGGAATCTTGTGCCAATCAGCGTCATTCTAATGTTGTTCCAAGCAAATGTTTTTCCTGGGCGAAGAGTGAAGTTTGTTCCCTGATTGTTGTTTCCATTCTGGAGGACAATTTGGACCTCGACGGCCAGCTCCCAAGCTGGGCACCTGAAGACCTCGTAGATGGTAGGTGATTCGGGGTGGGCGTAGTATCTGTAGAACAGGCAGCTTGACATGCACAGAAAGCATCCTCCACAGGTGAGACATCCGCAGCTTGCTGCGCAGAACGTATAGCCTGGATGACTATTGGCTGCGTGCGAAAATTCTTTGATTCGGTCAGTTGTTTTGGTGTCGTCACATGTGCTCTTTCCACAGCTTCCCGCAAATCTGCATCGATGTACAGATTCTGAGTAGAAACGATGATCTCGAGTATAGAACTCTAGCTTCTTTTGGCATGTGTAGTACACATTTTTCACTCTGATGGCGATTAGTCCGGCTGGCTTCCCGTTGTAATCCCTCAGGAGGAAGACAAGTTTCTTGGTTGAGCGGTTGGAGGGTCATTATCGTGGCTTGGTTAAAAGTGCAGACCTGGGTTCCTCCTGATGTGATGCACATTTCTTCCGATGTCGTGATTGAAACGAATTCTGAGCATTGCGTACTAATCTGCAGACAGAGGGTAGCAACTGTGATGAAGAATTTGCGCCGGTGGCTGGAGTATGGAACGAAACCTGGTGGTTTTCGGCGTGGTACAAGTCTTGAGAGTATCTTTTTCACGACGAAGCGGCAGATGCGAAATATCGTGCGGACGACTGATGCTACAACGTGAAGAACGGGGCTTATGAGTGTAAGCACAAGGATTATGATGATTGGGATCGCTCCTGCTAGCACCATCTGTGTTGGCGTCCAGCAGTGGAGATTGTAGATGTATTCCATGCAAAATATGCATTGCATGAGTTCGCAGATGGCGTGCGCATGGCAATGGAGCTGCTGTTGGTAGATTAGCTTTCCTCCGGACCATGCAGAGATGAGCATCTCGTAGTTGAATGCGATGAGCGATGTGGGGAATATGACCACAGGATTGGTGGAGTTTGTGATGAACAGGCAGTAATTTGCTACACAGGCTTGTACCGCATCTACAATGGTACCTGAGTTGACTTGTGCCCCTCCTTCTGACGCAGCTCGCCTGGACCGATATACTTGGACTTTCGAGCTGCAGATGACCATAGTATTCCTTCGTCGTGACTCCCCAGGCTTTTACGACGAATGATCCCTGTTGATGTTATGAATAGTGCGCTGGGAGAATCGAAGGTACAGAACAGCGGCGCGTTGTCGTGACATTCATTCTTGTTGCAGAAGTAAGAAGTACCTGTGTACGGTGGTCTCGGATGCTGTTGCGATCCTTGTGAGTCGAAGCAAATGAAATCATCTGAGTCCAGATATTCTTTGATAGCGATGTGCAGTTCAGGAACGACAAGAAGAGTTCCATCATAAAGTTCTACCTGGTTGAAACTATCAATACGTCTTCTCTTGTCACACTGGTCGGTAGGCGTGAACGAACACACATGCTCAGGAATGTAAGAGACCAGTTCAAATGGGACGTTCGAAAGTTTTGAAGATTTTCCCCTGGGTGAGGTACTGAAAGAGCATGATGATGCCCAAGACGGACACTGACACTTCGGACCGCATACTCCCTTATTTTGAACGAGTGGAAATGATACCTGTATTGCTCCGGTAGGACAGGTAATGGGAAAAGCACAGCTTGCTTTCCTTTTCGTCCTTGTACTTTGCGATGGCCACACCTTGGGTGACGCAGTTTGTCGCATATATGATTTCCTTTGGAATGTTGATCTCAGAAGGGCATCTCGTTGCAGCACGAATCGTGGAGCAAAGAGTGGATATCGTGATGACATACAGAAGTGTTCCCATGGTAGCGGCGAGTGTTTTTGATCGTGTTGTCATCGGATGTCCGCGATTCTGTTGGGCTGACAGCGGAGTGGATTCTGATGATTCTTTCTTTTCCTCATCATTGCAAATTTCAAACTTATGTAGTAGATTGATGGGACGTGTGACGATCCTTCGTGATGGGAGCCTGACGTTTGCAGATCGTTGGTAGTCGTCTGATGATGATTCTATCTGGCCGATCTGCCATTGTCCGAGATTTTTGTCTTGAATGAGCACAATGTCGTCCTTTTTCGGTTGGGATGAATCAGTACATCGTGGATGTGGATGGTGAGTGCGGTACTGCTCCCGCAGACTTATCAGATATTCGGATGACCATCTCTTCCAGAATCGATCAAGCGTAGTATTCATGTCGTTCCATTCTTCCACCAGTTGATCTTTGGTGGTTGTTCTTGGTTTCCATTCGGTTTCCAGCTGCGTTCTGGGTACGCATGAGCCTGTTCATGGTCGTCCATAGGGCGGAGTGGTGGCACATAATTCTCTTCTGACACATACGTGAGTGGTCGGCAATTTACGATCGCTTCCGTTTCTTTGGCGACAGTCAGTAGCTCTTCTATCTTCAGTTGACGATTATTCAGTGCATGTTTGAATGATACTTTGAAAAGGTGCACCATTTTTTCATATAGTCCGCCTTGCCAAGGGCTGAAGCTGGGAATGAACTTGAATTCAATTTTCCTCAAAGCGCAGTAGTCTATGATGTCTGGATTCGGTTCTCCTTCTGAGGTAAAAGACGTCTGTAAATCGGCCACTGACTTGAACGTCTTTGAATTGTCGCAGAGTATCCATTTCGGGTACGCTGTGGTGGCGAAGAACCTACGAAGCGCGCGTAGTAAAGTACTCGCCGTCATATCAAGAACGAGATCGACGTAAATTGCCCTGGTGTTCAAACAGGTGAAGAGTAGCACCCAGTACTTCGTGGAGGAGTTGGTATCCGTCTTGCATAAGAACGGTCCTGCGTAATCCATGCCTGTATTTTCGAAGGGGTAGCAGGGTCGTCGAACACGTCTAGCGGGATGAATCGGAAATTCCGGAAGTTTAAAGGGTTGGGCCTTGAATCGCTTGCAGTGAAAGCAGAGCTTGTTGAGTACCGTTTCACAGCTACCCTGCCTTTTGATACCCATACTCGTTGTCGCAGTTCAGTAAGGGTATGGTTTACTCCACAGTGATTATTGATGAGATGAATATGGAGTATGTAGAGAGAGGTGATGTGACTTTCGCGTGGAAGATACACAGGAGTCATGGCTTCGGTTGAGAGATCCGCATTGTCCACTCGTCCTCTTGATTTCCAGAGGTTCAGTTCCTCGCACATAAAAAGGTTTAGTTGTTCCTTTATTGAAGCCGAAGGCGGATATTGCAACTGCGCTATTCGGAAAAGGATAATTTCGGCTCTATCGTACAGTGCTGACTCCGATTCTCCGAACTGTTGTTTAGCCTTTTTTGTTTTTCTGATGATGAAGAGGAGAATGGTGTACACAACGCGAAGTATCCTCAGCCAGCTGCTAAACCTTTCTGGTTGAATCAGAGTATCCGGACGAGGTGGGGGAGTTTGGAGTTCCTGTGTATGGTAGCTGCTTGGGCTCTGCTCAGAAGAGATGTCGTTCGGCCAGTGGTCGTCTGTTTTCGCAAGAAATGACGGTCCGTGCCACCATGTATCGTATGAAATCAGTTCTCCTATGGACAATCCTCTGCTTCCAACGTCGGCGGGGTTGTTGTTTCCAGGGACGAACCGCAAAGTAGCTTCAGGAGCGTTCTCCTTGATACTTGCTATCCGATTTCTGATGAAAACTGGTCCCACCTTTGATCCTCATCAATGCTACGTTGCTGTCGGACCATATGACTGTCTTATCCAAAGGGTTTTTGCGTATATACTTCATCAGTTTCGCTCCCAAATTGATGGCGGATAGTTCGAG